GTGGGAGAGGGCGCAGGTGGCTGGCGCCGTGAAACTCGCAACTAGGCGCACCACCACACCCCCCTTCCTGGTCCATACCGCACCGCGGCAAAATAGGGGGGGGGGGGCGGCAGGGATCACAGTGGACGCGACGTGAGCCAACAACTGGGCCTGCTGCCACATCCCAATGTTGGCATTTTTTATAGGTGCGCATTCCCGACAACGCCTGCCGGATGCCGATCTAGCCCCGTGCTGGTCCAGCACACCTACCGCGTGCGCCGTTTTAGGGGCACCCCTTCTGCATGGCCTACATATTTTCACTCACTAGGCGCTCCAACGTGATGTAGGTTGGCGTACATTTTCTATTCTGGACATTGGCGATCTACGATTTCTCAGACGATTAGCGAGTGCATGTGTCGCTGACAGATTCAGTTCCGGAATAAAGCTGCCCCATTGATAGTCTCCACCTCTTCAGCACGTAATTTTCAAAATGATTTTCAAAATCTTCCTGTACATCCGTTTCTATTCTCCTGACACAACGATCAGAGCATCTGCAATTGATCTGCACGTGTGATCCTACGCGCTCGCCGTGGAAAGAAGGGGAATGGCTACGGAGGCTGCTAGAAGCAGGTCTTTGAAATCAGCCATAGGCAAGGATTTGCAGCGTTATCCTTGCCAATCCCCCCACTCCCTTTCTCCTTTTCCCCCTTTGTACTGAAACCCATCGGAAGACCATTATAGATGTCAACTTTTATGCTCCCTGCCTTATTCCTCCTCTACTCACTCTCACTCTCACATTATAGGTCGGTAGAGGAAGAGTCTTGATGACTGTGCAAACGCCAGTAAGCAGGATGGTGTTTGGAAGCGCGTGCGACGACCCGAAAAAGGTGACCAAACGACGGAGTTAGGGGAGAAGGAAGGACTTTCGCGACGGAAGGTGCTTTAAAGGGTGAGCGCGTGGTGACGGCAACGGGGGCAACTCCTTCCACTTAAAGACAAAGGGCGGCAATTTCACCCCACGTCTGGCTGCAGTCGTCTGAGTCCCCGCCATACTGTTGGGCGGCTTTTTTGAAGTACTTCCTCCTCGTATTTCCTGGCAGGATGGCAGTAGTGGTGCAATTATTTTACCGAGACTCCCACGCGCAGACGCACAGTTTCCGTCTGGGTCTGAAACGCCCACCAAAATGCGTCCGTAGAAGAGTGTTTTTTCCTCTGTGTGAGGAGTAGCGTCGTGGTTACTGCACCATTAAAATCGTCCGCTATATTGGTGATAGTTGGAGCTGTTTTTCTCGCCCTTTAGGTCCCCAAGTATAGTCAATTACTTTCCGAAAGAAACACCCCAGATCAATAACCAGAAAGTTAATGAAACCGCCTCTAGAATATCTGCGTTGGTCTCTAACCGTGACTCAGGGACGGAGGCAATGATCCCTCCTCACGATACCCTTAATGGCACTCATCTACAGTAGGTGGGCTAACTCATGAAATGCCAACCGAAATTCCGAAATGCGTTTTTGTTTCGAAACGATTAATTAACTAGGGTTGGTAAACTAGTCAGCCTGCAACATAATTCTATAATATCTCAATTACCTCAGGATACCGCCTTTTGAATGAACTTCCTTCCGGCTGCATGCAAAAACTACACTCCGTAAAAAATGACTACTTAAATAGCCCGAATTTTTCTCACTGATTCCTGATGTCCCTAAAAGTCCAATTATATTTCATGGAAAGCATGCAAAAAATAGTCATTCTTTTGTTCATTTGGTAGAAAATTACGTCTTCGTCCACTCTCATACTCACAGGAATGGTATAATTCGGTTTTCAAAAACTTAGCCAATTCCCGAATAACTTTGAACCCGCTGTAACGTTACACTTGGATTCGGGACCTCCAAACTACAGGTCGTATATTTTCCGCGTACAGAAAACTACACATTCCTCCACGGTAATATAGGGGGACCATATGGGGTTCATAAAATTAAGCTGTGAATTTGATGCATATTGCTAACTTTACTAGCCACGCTGGTATATGCAGAGACTTGACGATTTATGAACGACCATTTCACGGTATTTAAAAGTCCCACAACTAGAAACTTTTGAAACCAAATTATCCTCCTCCTTCTAGTAAAAACTTGAGAGAAGACGTTATGATATACCGACTAGATAGAAGAATGAATATTTTTATGCATTTTTTTCATACAGCATAATTGAACTCTTAAAGACATTGAAAATCAATGAGAAAATTGCATGTTACTTGAGTAGTCATTTTTTGCAGACTTTAGTTTTTGCATGTAGCCGAAAGGAAGTTCGTTAGAAAGAAGACACCCTGTGGAAACTGGATCATTATAGAATAAGGCTGTCCGATGATTAGTTTTACAATCCTACTTGATCATTCTTTTCGAAACGAAAACGCATTTCGGAATTTCGGTTGACATTTCATGAGTTAGCCCACCTACTGTAAGTGAGATATGCGGTCTCATCACTTGAGCCTGGTAACTGTAGAACTATCGAATTAAAGAAATATATATGCCCACATAATAAACGGAGGCACCTACTTTTAAACGAAGAAAAACTAGCAAAAAGTTATGGTGGGAACGGATACAGTTTAAAGTTAGCGTTAGAAGTATAACTGGAAAAATAGAGAAAAGGGAAGGACGCATGTCCAGAGAATTTAATGAAATTCCCGTAGTCCTCTGACCATGCCTAAACCTTGCACGAAACGAGAAATTCACAAATATTTTGCCTTTTGAGTGGTGTTACTTTGCCTTCCGAGGATTATTGAAGGTCTACTGAAATACGACGTATATGCAGTAGGCATAATAAACTGGGTCAAACCTCAGGAAGGCAGGTCTTTTGTGAAACTGCAAAATGCGATTATGGCTAACAGTAACCACTGAATCCTGGTAAAAAAGCAAAAACAATGCTTTTTGTTTTAAGCCGAATGAGGTCATACTAGCCGAGGAACAAAGCCATGTCTGTTTGAGGGTTCGGAAAGTGAGGTCCCCTAGTCCACACACTATGTCATAGCACGCAATATGAATGTAAGCACCTGCTTCAGTTCAGCGGGTGTACCGATCAACGCAGGAAGCAAGGGACCTGGTACATCCAGATATACATGGTTGGACCGTGCTTCGGGGCTGGGAAAGGTGGCCGGGGAGACTTGTTGAGGCGTTGCACATTGTTGCACTGACAGCAAAGACATGACTGTGTCCAAGCTTTGACATTCTTGTTCGGGCTAGGTCAGACGAACCTCTCGTGAGAAGCTTTTGTGAGGCTCGAGTCTTAAAGCGAGAGAGTCCATGAAGAATTTAGAAAACAGCCCAACCAATCAAGGCGGACAGGAAAAGGCGATGAAAACGGAGTCGAAACGTCACCCAGGATTGTGCCGGTACCGATGATCAGTGGGACGTCCGCGAACTGGAGGCCACTAACAAATTGTTGCCAGGGCAACCAACGCGCATTTGCTCAGTCGCCATGGGACCAGGGTCGATCCCGTGTGAGCAGTTAAACGCCAAGAGGGAAGGTCTGGACAGAATGTCTATCACCTCATTCTTCGTGCCATCAATGTGGCGAATGTCGGTGGTGAATTGTGATATATAGTCCACATGAGCGATCTACTCATGCTATCTTCGTCAGAATGTGATCGTATGGCAAATATGGGTGGTTTACGGTCCATAAAAATGGCGAAGTGACGATCGTCAAGGAAGTGTCGGAAATGTTTTTCAGCCAGGTAAATAACAAAAAGTTCACTGCCAAAGGTACTAATCTCGTCTCAGCAGCATACAGCTTCTTAGAGGAGAAAGCCAACAGGCGTGTGCCATCGGTTAGGTTTTGTTGGAGGACTGATCCCATGGCAACGGTCGAAGCGTCAACCATGATTGGCGACAGAGCTTCGAGATCAGGATGTGTGAGCGAGGTAGCCTCAGCAAAGGAGGCCTTGATATCTCGAAAGTGGTCAGTGTGTAACCAATAAGTCCAAGGGGACCCTTCGGACCAGGAAGTATGCCGATGAGTGACAGCATAAGGTCGCTACAGTTCGGTAGGAGCTGGCGGTCAAAGGTAACCATACCGAGAAGACGTTGCAGCTGACGCTTGGGGGTTGGTGGAGGAAAATAACGAATGGCTTCGACCTTGGAGGGCAGGAGTCACAAGCTTTCTGAGTCAACAAAATGGCCAATAAATTCAAGTGGAGGTACACCTAGAACAAACTTGGAAGGGTTGATGACGACGTCATACTTGTCGAGACTGTCCAACGCCAAGACAAGGTGTTCTTTGTGTTCTTTGGCATTCTGACTGGCCATCAAGAGGTCATCAATGTAGGTGTTACACAAACGGTGATCCACATATGACATAAGCTGTGAACCTCTGGAATATTTGGGAGGCATTATAAAGATCGGAGGGCACGCAAAGAATTGAAAGAGGCTGAAGGGTGCAGTGCCGGCGGTTTTGGGGATTTCGTCAGAGACGACAGGAATCTGATCAGAGGCACGCGTCAAGTTAGTCTTCGAGAAAACCGCTTTGCCGAAAAGGGCTGTCGCAAAATCCTGAAGATGAGGCAGAGGGTACCGATCGGGACTGGTGGCATTATTCGGTGAACAATAGTCGCCACAGGGTCTCCAGTCTCCTGATGCCGCCTTAGGCACGATGCGCAGGGGGGACGTCAATGGGCTCTCGGACGGTCGAATGATTCCCAGCTGCAGCATATGTTCAAACTCTGCATTGGTGCCAGTCATCTAGGCCGAGCGAACGCAGGTGGATCTGAGGTGCAGATGTGGTGCACAATGGCATGCTGAACCTTGCCACTGGAAAACTGAAGGTTGATTTTGTTGGGTTATTCAAGGAGCTGTTCTAGAAAGGGACAATAAATATCTGCATCTAGAACAGATAAGTTGCAGGAGATGGTGAAGGGAGGTAAGTCATGAACAGAGAGATCAGCTGTGCGGTCGAGGAGACGGGAACATGGGCAGTTAACAAGGCGATTGAACTCAGCTACAAAGTCCGAGTCGAGGATTACATGAGGGACATCGGCAATCACAAAGGTCCAGAAGAAAAGACAACGAAAGGCAATGTTCAGAGTGAGGGAGAGGCTACCAAAAGTGGGAATGGGGGAACAGTAGGCAGTTTGGAGGCAATGACCAGGGCTGGGGCAGTGACTGTCGGCTGGAGTGGGAGAGACAGTGCTAATTTGGGTTCCGGTGTCCATAGGGAAACGCCTGAGTCACACTGTCGCAGACACAGAAGGTGCGACCAGAACTGGGAGGGTCGGAGGAGGCGGCCGCGTCTATTCTCTGGCTGACTGGTTCCCCTGTCTCGACTTGAAGGAACAGGGGGAGGGATAACGACGTGCCTTTGCGCAAAATTGGTAAGATGCCAAAAAATATAGGCAGCTCGAGGTCGCGAGCGAGCACGACGACGGATATGTGAACGACTGGAGGCGAGGCGTGAAAGCTGTGGTTTCAGGGAGGCCATCTCATTATCCATGGTCGATATCTGCTTTACCAATTGTTCATCCACTGTCGAGAACGAAAATGTGGAGATCTAAGCAACGGAGGGCAGCTGGAACCGTTGCGCCTGTATCACTCGGTTCGCAGTTTCACCCAGCTGCAAAACCTTGAGATCTTGAGAACTGGACGCCAAAATTTCTTGAACATCTGCAGGTGGACTTTCTAGAAACATCTCATCGACGAGTTTCTCCTCAATCAGCATATCTCCAAGGAGAGAACGCATTCGACGGAGAAGTTCTGAGGGCTTCCGGTCACCCATTGATTCCTCCTTGATCAAGTGGTGATAGCGCTGTCGGTCAGATACAGCATTACAGGTTTAGGAGATAACACTGGGTGGGAGAACCTCCATAACTTTGTGGTATTTCGTCATCCCCTTTGGTATCGTTAGCAGAATAAAAGGCTAGTTTGATGCGGATAAAATAAAGTTCTGGAGCGCGTTTCTGGAATTCGGGCATGGTGAAAACAGTGACATGAAAAGACTCTGTGAGTGCCTTAAGTCGTTGGGTGGGGTGAGACACAATAAGCTAAATATATACAGTGCGTGACCGATCTCATGAACTGTTGGCCAAAATTCTTGAACGCGTTCCCGATTAGGAGAGATTACTTAAGTGGGGTTGTTATACTGATTACCATGAAGCATAACCCTATAACACTCTGGACTCATCAGGACGTCGGCTTTTGAACGCACTTCTTTTCAACCTCTTGCAGAAACCCCACTCTGTAAAAAGGACTATTTAAATAGCATGCATTTTTCCTATTGGTTTTCGATGGTCTTGTAAATTCAACTATATTTTATAGAAAACATGCACAGAAATATGCTTTCTTTTGCTCATTCCGAAGGAAATTACATTATCTTCATATTGTATGTCTGACGCAAGTGTGCACATGAGTTTTAAAAGTTTCCCAATTCCCGAATAATTTTCGGCCTGATCTGTCATTGCATCAGCGTTTAGGAATTTCAGTCTACAAGCTGCATGCTTTCCGCGTAAGGAAAATCATATATTCCTCTCTGTCTTTAAGGAGATACCACATAGATTTCATGAAATTTTGCAATGGATCCGGACCATGTTGTACATTTCATGAGGAGCATTAGTAAACGGACATGTGCGGTCTTGCATGCATGGGCATCGAACAGTCTTAAAAATCTCATAACTTGAAACATTTTCAAAACCTAAATATACCTTCCTTCGGGTATAAACTGTAAAGACAACTCGATTCTCTACCAAACGAGTAGATAAAAGCATATTTTTCTGCCTGTTCTCTATAAAATATATTTGACTTTATAAGACCATCGAAAATCAATAGGAAAATGCATGCTATTTAAGTAGTCATTTTTTACAGAGTGTGGTTTCTTCAGGAGGTCAAAAAGAAGTGCACTCGAGAACCGACATTCTGATGAGTCCGAAATGCTATAAGGTTATGCTGCATGATAGTCCGTATAACAACCCCACTTAAGTAATCCTTCCTAATCGGAAACGCATTCCAGAATCATGGCCAGCAGTTCATGAGATCGGTCACGCACAGTAGATGGCACAATTTCGAGCGAATTCGCGAGAAAGGTAAGCGTAAATGGAACAGAAATTAATAAATAATTGTAGGACATTAAATTTTATTTGATGTGACAGACAAGAGAATGTAGTCTGCGTTAACGTTGGGAGTCACCAATAACGTAAATAATATTGTTCGCACGAACTAACGAGCGATATCTTACGCATACTACGTAAGAAGCCGGTCGGTGAATAAAGTTAACACTCAAAATGGCCATGTAGCGTTGTATGCATGGCGTCAAAACAAACAGTAAGCAAGGCAGACGTGACGAGATTGTCAAAAGTAAACTAGTTTGGTACCTCGACACAAATTCACTCCAGGGCTTCCCCCTAAGAGCTTCTTATGCACTTTTTGCAAATTGAAGTAAAAGTCAAGAGCGGGCAAACACTCTTGCAAAGTATATTTTTTTGAGAACCCTCGCAGCAGTAGCCCTATTTATAGGTACGCACAGCGAAGCATCTTGATTTTGCATCTATTGTAGTCTCATTCCACAGAGAAAATACCTTTTAAAAATCAGACTAAGTAACCACTGCAATAAATAAAACGTACACAGTCAAATCTTTGGCGTGAAAGGTTGCTCTGAAACCAGTTTACTCGCGAAGAAGTAAATGATTCTGGCACTGGATTTCGACCTATGCAGTCCCAAAGGTAGTAGACAGGTTATTTGACATTTATTAGAAAGATCTATTTAGTTCGGGTGGACAGCCCCGTTTTTTTCTCAAAATTCATACTCGTCTTTACCATATCTTACTAGAATACACTGTTTACGAATTGAAGCCTTGGACATTTTATGGAGTTAAACATCTGTTCTTACGGATGCAGGAGCTTTGCAAATGGTCCGTAACAAACACATTTGCACATTAACACTCTAAAAACGATCGAAGGCCGATACAATTGAACAGGAGGTTGACAAAACGTCTCATCACCTGTTGTAACATGAATATATGAGACAATTTCGGACCGTACCGTCTCAGTGCCATTTTGTTATACGCTCCAGAAGCATTAGCTTGTATACACACACGTGTAAATCAAGTTATACGAAGCTGACTGACAACAAATAATAAGTCCGAAATGACTATCCTCGTCTCCCCTATCTTTGTCGGCAATAATATTTTGCCGTTCAAATAAGCAAATTATCAGGCATCTATGTAAACCACCATCGAAATAATCAAGTGATTTTAAAGGGCTGTATAAAATCAGGCTTATTTCATGGAAGGAATATGGATTTAAGGCAGTTCACACTTTTTTTTATTTTCTTCGCCCAAATGAGGGGAGATTCAGATTTCAAAAGCTTATGACTATGACTTATGACTATGGAATGACTTTCCGTGGGATTGTCTACCCTCAGATTTTTTATTGCTGCTCACCGGTTCTGCACTCCCATTCATGTCTACTGAAATATTCCACGAGCAACAGGGATTCACTTTGTTGATACGTGTACTGTTCGGCAGATTTATTTTAGAGAAAAAAGCCCCAAGATTCCTTCACCTATTTTTTTATATGCTTCCTTTGGCAAGGCACAAAATAAAACCCCTAATAACACAAGTGGTTTTGCGATAAATTTCGAGAAAATTAGGCGTAGGGTTAAGGTGAGGATTAAGATTAGACGCAGAGTGAGGACTAGGTTTAGGCTTAGGTTTACGGTTTGGGTTAGGGTTAGTGCTGCGGTTAGGATACGGGAGTAGGTTCTCTTCCCGGAATTTAACACGAGGCTACTTGTATTACGGGGAAGGGGAGGCGTTCCTATCCGCCTGCCCTGGAGGGGAGGACTCATACAACGATCACTTTCGGAAAAGCATAGAATAGGGTTTGGAAATCCTCTGAGGGGGTGAAAACGGCAGTCGTGTTCAAAATAGGTCGACACTGAAACATTTTCTCATAATTGACATGACATATTTGACGGGGACGTGACTTTCTATAAAATAAACAAGAAATAATTTCAGTGTACAACCTTCCTATATAAACTGGTACTGAATTCATGCCGACAGCTGAAATTCCAACAAAAAGACTACATAAATGACGTTTTTCCGAGTGAACTTTAGGTGGATGTCCGAGTATGAATCAATGCTGTTTTAATAGGCAATCGATAAGGAAGCTAAATACCTGAGCCTGAAAATGTATAGTGCGTCAGTGGTGAAAATCGGTACTGTAATCTTCCTTTCATAGGGAAACCAGAAAAATTTTCCCCTCTCCTCCTAACAAGTGAGACTGAAGCAGGTTAAAGTTCTTCAACGTAAACTATTCGTCATCACAGAGAATGTTGACTTGGTGAACTCCGTGGAAAACATCGAGTCCGTTCTTTAGCCTAAAATCTTCGGCAGCCGCATGATACCGCCTTAATAGTGCCGCGCCAGCTATGTGTGATCATTTTCTAGGGCCGACCGAACACCCCTCATGGGATGAAGGCTAGTGAGACCATCACGCTTTCACCGACAGCTAATCGACGGTTACGAGTCTAGGTAGATAGGAACGAATGCCTTTGAAGAGTCAACGATTTGTTGGTGGATCAGCAAACCCGAATTCAGTGCAACGGAGAACAAATACAAAGGCGGGTGTTCCAGCCCACGGATATGCAGAAGTGTGCGACATCAGAAGACAGTGGTGAGGCAATCAAGTCGGCGTATACGCGCACAGTAGATTTTTGCGTACTGCCTGAATCTCACAAAGCCGGGTTAAAAAGA